ATATTATCACCCTTTTCGAAATTACATAGTTCGGTACTACTTTTTGCACTCATATCCCGCAGCAACGCGCAGGGTATTTTCTAGTTAAATATATGTGTGTGTGTGTGTTAGCGCCAGTAAAATTTAATGGGAGAGCTGCTAGTGTGGAGCCACGTGGCCATCCTAGCTCGTTTAATTTCTGTATATCCCAACATAACATGCTCACATACTGCACAAAGAACAACCGAACAAGATATTGTAATGATCATGGACCCAGTTATGTCATTTGGTGCAAACTAAGTGGTGTTTGAATTTCTTGAAAATAAAGATGGAGATAAAGATTAAGTGTTTCACGGAAAACAAGGTGATAATAACGTGTGATTAATTGGGTTTTAATTATTATAAACTTAAAAAATGGATTAATCTGATATTTTAGAACAACTTTCATATAGAAAGTTTTCACACAAAACGTTCCGTTTAGCAGTTTGAAAAGCGTGTCATAAGTATCCAAAAATTTGTCCAACTTTTTTTTTTGAGAAAAGAAAATGTAACATTACTGACAACCTCCGAAATTTGAACAGGTAACATTACTGACATCCTCCGAAATTTTACAGCTGTAGCACACAATAATAATGCTAATGTATTGTACGCATTCATTGCATACACACATGCATATCTTCTAGTGCACCAACATACTCCTACCTCTTAAAAAGTCAAGTTCATTTCTAGTTTCAGAATCGTAGCCATTAGCAATGTTAATGCTTTATATATCATTAATTTGCTAGCTATAGGAGGTTACCTTGTCGTACATGTACAGAAGGGCCAAAAACAAGCACAAAGCTTAGTTATTCCGTGTTCCAATTCTGATTCATACATTCTCCTATAATTTGGACACATGAAGATCATACTAGAGCTTACTGTTCCTAATTCTAACTCTGAATCATACATTCACCTACAAATCGGACACTAGAAAAGCTTAGTTATACCCAGTTCTAACTCTGAATCATACATTCACCTATAAAGTATAAACCACACCCAGCCTCTTGTGCCCAAATAGCACAAAGAGGCAAATAGGAACCGTCTGGTTATAATCACTGCAAGCCTGCTCTGTAAACTCGCCGGATCACACATCGGCCGGTTTCTCATCTAAAACAGAGATATTAGACGTGGAGACATAACAACTTTGAATTGGCAGCCAACAATCAAATGCTTCGGGAACACTAGAATGGACATTCTAGCACATATGCTCCCTCCATTTTCATAAAGGAAGTCGTTTAGAACAGCGACACGGTCTCTAAAACACAACTTTGACTTCTTGTTTCTATAAAAATATTTATTAAAAAGTGATATATGTATACTTTTATGAAAGTATTTTTCAAGACAAATCTATTCATATAATTTTTACATTTTCAAATTCAACAACTAGACAGTTATTTATGATTTATATTTCCAAGGTTTGACTTAAATATTGTTCTAAACAACTTTCTTTATGAGTACGGAGAGAGTATAGTGAGACACATGCGTGTCATCCGTCATTCTACTAGACATGGGAACCATTTGGGATATATGCCACTGATTTCCACGAAATCTCTCTTCAGTGTTCTCCATTTATTTGACTGGGCTAAAAATTAATTTCGACAAGTACGAAATTAGGAACCCTCAAAATGAATGTCATGTGGGAAATTCAGTTCCGGAGACGAAGGAAGAAGGATGGCGCGGCGGGCGAAAGTAACGTGCGCGTGTCTTCGGATTAGCTGGAGATAGATTTATCTTCTGTCATTTATCTTGTGCTTGTCATTAGCTAAAGTCATTAGCCGGTTGTTAGGATTAGTATTTGCTATTTAAGGAGTTGTAGTCCGGATTATTAAGTTAAGAAGGAAATCAGTTAAATCTCCTCCTATTTCCAATCTCTGTTCTCCTCTCTCGCCGCGTCTCTCCTCTGCGCATTATTTCTTTCTTCCGCCACCACGCCTCGCCGGTCTCGCGGTCCCGGACAGCGTCCGCCGGTGTTCCCCAACTACCGCTTGCAATATGTGCCGGGTTGTGACAACTTGGTATCAGAGCAACGTCATACGCCTGTGATGATGTCGACTCCTCCTGAGCAATCTGCGAGTCAGAGCAATGTGCAGATGGCAGCCATCCTTGATGAGCTTAAAAAGATCAACATCACGCTCCAAGAACACTCGACGGCAATCAAAAGCCTTGAGTCCTCCAAGGGGATCATGAGACCACTACCGTCGCCTACACCGCACGCGGAAACACACGGTGACGCTCGGGTTCCCCGCTACTACAAGTGGGATTTTCCCTAATACGACGGCATGGCGATCCGGCAACGTGGATCAGCCGCTGTGAACAATTTTTCCGCGAGCATCGAACCATAGAGGAAGAGAAGGTTTGGACCGTAGCGTTTCATCTCCTCCGAGAAGCGCAGCAGTGGTACACTCATGTGGAACGCGCCTATGGCACTCCGCCGTGGCGTCGGTTCATTAGCGGGCCCAGAGAGTAGTCCATATAGGCCTAGGACTACCCTAGAATTTGGCCCAGAGAAGAGTAGATATTCAGTTTTATTGGCCCATCAGAAAAAGCCTGGCCCAATAGGCAACAAAAAAAACCCTAACTCTTGTTACTCCCGTCTCCCGGCCTCCCACTCTCACGCAGTCACGACGCACGGTGCACGCCCGCACGCACCACGCAGCCAGCACCAAGCCACCGACGCCGGAAGAAGCCCCGAGCGGCCGCGCCAGGGCCTGCTCGCCTTGGCGCCTTCCCGACTCGCGCGACGCGCGGTCGAGCCGCCACGCCGTGTCCGGCCTCCCACAAGACCCGCGCGCGCCCCGCCAGCCACCGTGCAACCGCTGCCTTCGCTCTGGGCGCCGGCGCCGCCAAGTTGTCGCTCCGCGCCGCGCCGTCGTGCACCCGCTGCCCAGCATCCGGCCCTCCCGCCTCCCGGCCTCCCCCTCCGAACTCCGGTGAGGATTGCCTCTCTGGGCGCGCCCAACCTCGGTGGCAACCAAGCGACAACATTAGGACCACGTGTTAACGACCAAATGTGGTAAATCATAGATTGGATTTGGAGTCAAAGCCAAAGCGGATTTGGAAGGAAATCGTTATTCTCGGAAATAGAGTGCGCGTCGGCTGGACTTCGTCGACTATTGTCTGCATTGGCTGACACCGAGTTGGATAGGGAAAAGCCGACGTAGCCGATTTCGGCACGATAATCATATAATCATTGCCGGGATTGGTTGAAGTGCTATACAAGTATTGCTAAGTATGGATTGAGTCCAAAAATGACAATTGTATCTATTACTTAGGATATTTTGGTAGTTTCCTTATACATATTTTCGGTAAGAGTCCGCTTAAGGGACTAGTTCGTCTTTTTGAGTTGTAATAAGAAGTGGAGTTGTGTCCGGCAAGGACATATTATGTATTATGGATATAAATATGACCCAATACCTTGTACAAAACAACATCATTTCAATACATTCTTGGTGCATTGCCACCCTTTTACTTTTCATTATTTTCGACGAGTTCTTGCTTTCGAGTTGGGCTGCATCAGTTTCGATCTCCGACAAGATGTAAAGCTTGTTATGGCGGCTTGTGTTATCGGGATTAGTGCTTACATCTTTATGACACTCTAATCATGTCCACGCAAGTCGTCGAGTTATCATATATGCTATATAATATAGATCGACCTTACTATGTGATCTCACCGGTTAGCCTCTATCATCGAAAACAGCCGATAGGGTCCAATGCTATCGTCGAATTAGATTATATAGTATATCCACCATCCCGAAAAGGCTCTCATTGGCTCGTCTAGACCTTATGTTTTTCTTTATGCTTAATGCTACATCAGTTGAGTTTGATCTATTAAGTGATATCTAGAACCACAATATCTAGCCTGCTTCATGACTGTTAATTGGGATAGTATCGGAGTTTCAGTCGGTCTTACCTGGTTTAGTTATCTTGTTTCTTATTTGTTTACTTAATATACTGAATCTGCCCTTTATATCAAGACCTCACTTGGATAAAATATATCAAGCCGATATCAGTCTGTTAGGCTACCCTAACATTGAATTGATTCTTGTTTAGTATATTTAATCTATATTGATATCTTAGTATAAAGTAGTATCGGAGCACTAGCCGATACACGTTGGATTTGCCAATCGGCCATGCTATGAATATATATAGTCTTTGCTTTAAAATACCTTTAGACATAAGTGGTTTATTCTATCTCGGCATGCTGTCCGATCTATCCCAATCACTTGGTTTAAGCGTATTTCGAAGCCAAGATTATATATTATTGAGATAACGTAGATTTAACCTTTTCTTTGCCATATCCGATCTGATCCATATCACATCGACCTGATATGAATGATACGTCATCAGCAATCCAGCCGATCGACTAGAGTTTATAGATTTAACTTTGGTTTCGTTGTTTCTTGTTGGTTGCAGGATCAAACCAACTGGCACGCCCTGAACCCAAAAGTAAGATTTAGGACCTGCACCAGAGTAAATCAAATCTCTCAGGCCAGTGTGTGTTTTTCGCATCAATACCACGACAACAACACCTAAACCAGTTCAACAGGGACGCACTCCACGTTGTACACTAACACCTGAAGAGATGCACTCGCATCGTGAGGCTGGTCTTTGTTTTAATTGTGATGAAAAATTTATTCCAGGGCATAAGTGCAAGCGCCTGTTTTGGCTTGGCGCGCCTTTCGCGGATGACGACCACAATGCGACGCCGGAGGCGGACGACGACCCCGGCATCTCCCTCTATGCCCTATCAGGCGTGAGACGATGCAACTCTGCATCTCGTTCCACGGCATGACCCTCATCGTGATACTCAACATTGGCACACAACAGTATTATATCTAGAATCATAATCACGAGATAATTACGAGTATCCAAATAAACAACGTAAAACCAACACCGAGTCAGAGTCAGCCGGTCAGATTGTCGGACTGGTCAATTTGACTGCACAACATATGCCAATCTGATCGACCACCACTGTGCTGGGCCAAACCAATCCCACTTCGTCAATTATCCACCAAATATAAAAAATCAATTATTTCACATACCAATTGTTCATCACAAAATAATAATCAAAACACAATTTGATTTCAGTGAAACAATTGTAAAGAATTCATATTAATTCTTCAGTTATGATATATAGGTTTTCCACATTCATCATACCATACTAGAGATAATATGTGTTAGGCTTTGAGACATCGGAATCATTGTTATGGTTATGCCTGTATGACATCGTCATGGTGAATGGAAGCATAGTTGTTTTGGTTCGTGATAACCATGTCAGGTACCTTTTGTCGTCATGGTGAATTTTACGATATGTTTTGATCGATTTTAGAAGAAACAAAACTCATAGTTTTTGCAATTACTCCTGAAATAGCTTCAAATTCCAACAATCTCATTCACTGTAGCTTGTTGGTACCAAGACTGAAGAAGGCGCGGGACAAGCAGTATTTATAAAGCTTAGCTATTGGTTGAAATTAAGGCGACAATGTGGCTATTGCCTGAAGTGAAAAGTGAAAACTGAATTGGCTAGCAGAGAGTGCAGTGGAGTTGGTAACGATCTTGCGAGCTATGCTTGATTCTGTAACACAGTTGGATGGGGGAATTCCTCGTCTAGTGTTCGATAGAAAAATCCTAAGTTGATGTGTAAACAAAACTCTCCTTTCCATTAAAAAAAAAAGGAAAAGCGCCCTCCATTGTGATCTCTTCGAAGACGATGAATTTTATATGGGCTGGTTTTACGTTTTTCCATTGATTGAACAAATGAGTATGTGAAATATAATTGTTCATTGTTCATTGTTCAGTCTCTATATGCAAGTAAGAAAGAAGAATACAATAGAATCAAAACAATGTAGATGCTTATTCCCGCTTGCTCATCTCATGCCGCCATGAACATTTAGCTGATTATAGTTATTTTCTGTGCAACATGGTTGAGTTTGAGGTTTTGAGCCTGTTAATTGTCTCCAGTGGCTTGTACTAGCACTTTGTCAAGTTATTTAGAAGTAGGTGTTGGCCTTCATTCTCCGGTTGAGATAAATGCTTGATAGCATTCTGCATTATGTGGAACGTACATAATCCATGCCATTCTTCTGTGAACACTTCTTCAACAACTTTGCCCATTGCACTATCTTGGTTTGTGTAAATTGTTTGCGGTTGTTAGCCATTATGTGCTTTTACAAAGGTCTCAAACAACCACTTGAAAGACTCAAATGTTTCTCGAAAATGACACTAACAAAGACACTGAAAGATCTACTCTCTTTATTTGTTCCAAAAGTAGTATAAAAAATGACAACATCATCAAAATGTGCATAGTCTATGATAATTTTAGCATCAGTCCAAAATATGTTTGCTATTTGCTCATCACAATCCATTTGCAAAGCATATTTGAAAGAAGGATTCTCAGCAATTTTGTCTTGAAAATACTTCAACATACTTCCGACTTAGACCATATGCCACCTCCCTCTGTTGCTTGGTACACGAATAATTTTTTTTTGATCACGAAGGGTGTAGCTAAGATTAAATGATCCACCAACTTGACGGCTAGCTAGCTCATGTGCAGCTTTTGGTCCAATTCCGGAGTCATCGGTTAATTGTCTTAATTTCAAAAGCTTGCAAATCTGAAATATTCATTTCTGATGACATTAGGTGGAATGTTTCCGGTGGATAAAGGATGTGATTGTGGTCTAGAACAAGATCAGTCACCTCATAATTTCCTACTTTTTGGTCTAGTATAAGGCCAATTCTTACTTGACAACCGGTTCTAGTTTCAGCTCTAGGACATTTTATTTAATGATATCTTTTATCTTGTTTCCGATGACCCTCTTTTGAGCAAACATATCTAAATGATCTAACTTTACCATCAGACTTCCTCTTATTCGCGTACCTCTTCCTAACCTCCAAACCGATGTTACCTCCATAAGATTTCCAAAACTCCCAAGCCTCCATCTCATCCTAAAACTTCGTTCCAAGTTGAGGTAGTGTACTAGGTATCATCCCCTCTCTGAAAAATCACAAGTGGATTATTACTATAGAGAAAATGCAGCCATGCTTGAAGAATGACAAGTATAGAGTTGGTATTTATTTACCTGATGAACTCATGGTGCTCACCATCCGCCTTTTCATCCATCTCTCTTGTAGAAACTGACTAATCACCGCGGCAAACACATGGTCTTCAAGTGGGTTCTTCTGCCATATCTGACCGATCACAAGCTTGTTGCATCTCAAAGCTAGGCTGTGAAGAGGTGACAAGAAAAAGGGCACAAAATCTTTTTGGAACTGAAAAGAGAAATGGAGGTGAAAAGAGTAGACGAAGAGAATTATGTAATTCTGGCGCCAAAACAGAGTAAAGATGCCATTTTTCCCTCCACGGCTCCATTACCGCGGACATTTTCGCGCCATAATGTGGCAACGCTAGCTCGGCCTCATTTGCTGGCTTGACTGCACGGACTAATGGGCTGGCCCATTATACTCTGTATATACATGCATGAATGTGAGCCACTTATTTTTGCTGGATGGCGAGGATGGTTTGACTGCACCACCGTGCCTTCACCCCTCGAAGGTAGAGGATCCAAATCCTAACCTGCTACATAACTACCTACGTCCCATAAAAAACCAACATGGTATCAAATATGACTTATCCTGATATAACAAATCTAGACATATGTCCAAATACTGTCCATATTTATAGTGTTAATTAGGATAGGTCACATCTGGTCCTAGATTAGTTTTTTATGGGATGGAGGGAGTAACATCCAAGCCCTGCCATCATTGATCAACACACATGCATACAACATATGCTACAGTAAACCGAAGTAATGTAGCAACATACACTTATCCAATTCTCTAATCTCCTTCGCGAACACCGACGCTTGCACTCACACCTCATTCCTCCCTGAGTCTAGACCCGATAACACTATCGACCGAAGTTTTCCTCCAAGAATTCTGACTCTAGTCACCTTCTCACATGATATCCCGACCGCACTGGACCTCTGATCCTCCCTGAGCATAATCTCGGTCCTCATCATTGACCAAGGTTGACCTGAAGTCACCTGCACACAATCAGACAAAGCAACCGTTCCTGAGCACATATATCATAACCTGACTCATTAGTCACACGCACTTACACCAACATCCACATATCTTTTCAAATCAGTTCATCGAATAAATCATTTGTAAAGCCAATTATTCATCACAAAATATTAATCATGACAATGATTTCACAATTTGTGCTTCGCGTGCAATCTCCTGTTTGCAATCCCCTGAATTTTCTTTAGCGAGAGCTATTTAATTGCTGCAGATTCCTTCTTGACTATTTAAGGTACTTAAATAGTGCTATATATCCTATTTTACTATAAAGTTATAACCCACTAAATTTTAAAACTTAAGATGTAAAGATACCAAATTATTATTCACTAATAATTATTACATCTTAAATATTATGCAAGCATGCTATATTATCTATGATTTATTGAATTTTAAAGCGTTAAAATGCAAGCATTTAGTTATTATTCTACATAATTCACATATTGTTTTAATATATCTCTTCATTATTTTTTATAATATCTTACATACCTATATAGTTTATCCTCACTTACTTAATATTATTTCTCTCCTCTCTTATTAATAAGTCATATCATATTAATTGTTTAGCCCTTAGATAATTCATACATGGTCTAAATTATCTCTCATTTTCTTCTCTCATTAAATCATACTCCCTCCGTTCCAAAATATAAGCATTTTTAGACCCGGCACGGTCTCCGAGATACCACTTTGATCAACAATATCTATAAAACAAGGTGTTTTAAATAAAATGAGTTACATATTATGATAGTTTGTTTAATGATAAATCTAGTAACATTAATTTTACATGATTGATCTTTTTTATTTTTTTTACAATTAATAGTCAAAGTTGAAAATGTTTGACTTATCAAAAATGCTTATATTTTGGGACGGAGTGAGTACTGAACTCCCGTAGCAACTCGTGGGGTTTCACCTAGTTATCCTATTAGTATTTGTTGATATTACGTGTCTTATGGAGACTATTAATTTTGGGGAAAATCACTGAAAGAAAATATTGTATTGTACTTGATGAGGTTGTAGATTACTTGTCACATGTTTTTTTTTTGCCTATAAGTACGGTTAATCTGAAGAGTTAATTTATATATTTAAGGTGATTGCCTATTTTTCACTTCACTTTTCTCATAACTTAGATATAACCTAACACTTTCATCACTTCCGTCATTCCTAATTTAAAACACTTTCTCGTCTTTCCTAGATAAAAGTTCGAATATAGGATTCTCTAATATAGGTATAAAACTAATTTAGAACTGATAAACATTTACTCAATTTAAATTAGACACATTCAAATTCAAACAACGATAAATTAAGAACTTCAACGTATAAATCCAAAAAAAAATCGTAGAGAAAAAGAACTTTCCAAAGAAAATGAACCGCGTGATGTATGCAATTTTTGGTTACTGCAAAACTATAAAAAAAAAAATCTAGCTACTAACATATTGCAAATAGCTTACCTGAAAGGTAGCTATGTAGCACACCTTCTATTGAAAATTTTCAGTACATTACTGACAAATAATTTATGTAGTGGATTTAATTACGAGTGCTATTGCAATTGCTGCATGCCTGTACGAGCAACAGACCAACAGTACTATTGTCACGTCTCTGATATGAGCAATTAAGAGGGCCGGTTGAACGATTAATTATATCTCATGCGACTAAACCATCAGCTTCAAGATAGAGGCTAGTAATCAGTAGGTAACATATGGCTGTGCAAGAATTTTCGGAGCTATAAAACGGCACCTCATGATGCCCAGAACTGAAATTGCGCTACACATTCTTCAGTTCCGGCTAGGTGCTCGCGCATTCAGCTGTGTCATGACAGCCCCAGGCAGAGCTTGTATGTGTGTCTGAGAGGCATCGGGATCAGGGGTGTTGCTCACCATTAGTGGTAGACTCGAAGCAGAATGTTGCAGAGCTCAAGTTGATTCAGAAACGCTGCGCAGAGTTAACTGAACTGCAAGTTAACTGTAGTACTAGCACTGCTAGATGTAAAATGAAAGCCTGTGATTCTCGAGAACCATGTAGAAAAATGTCCTAGAATATCATCAGAGAAAATTTCAGGATCATTTGTGTTGAATAAGCTGATTTGAACAATTAGATCAAAATATGGATGGCCCACAATAGCAAATAAAGCTCAATACAAAGCTTAACATGCGCGGGCGCTGACTGGCAGAGTGATCAGCAAACACATCACAAAAACCTTTTCCTCTTGCCTGATCATCGCTTTCTTGATACTGATAGAGCAATATCAAACACTTCTATATAAACCATATCATCCCCAATTGATCATCTCTAAAGATTCAATTTGAACCGTTTGAGTATATTATCTAATCTCTCTTTTTTTTGGAGGAATATTATTTAATCTCTAATACGCTAGGAAGAGATTCTGTTTGAGATATGGCTGAAATTAAAGGAACAAACAGTTAGAGGCGAGCTCATCTCTCTAATGGGTAGATACAAATTAAACAAATACAAAACGTCGGCTACGGTTCGTTACTATACAAGGAGTTGGAGTTAATCTCTCATTTCTAATAGTCCATCCGATAGGAGTAGTAGATGATGTCATCTAACATTTCTGAAACTTTCACTACTACATAATTGATTTTTCTAGACAATATCTCCTTTAAATTGCAGGCGAGCCATAACTGCTATCACCTGCAAAAATCATTCCCCAAAAACGGTTTAAGTGCTGCATGCGAAAAGCATGCGGCCGCTTAAGAGGCTCACTTGCAAAAATATATTTATTTTCCTACATGGATTCTTAAGAGGCCGTATGCGGAAATACATTTTTGCAGACGGGTCTCATAGAGATCTGCCTAAAAGTCTAACATTTCTCCTCTCTTCTCTCTCAGCATCTTCAAATTTTTCTAAGGCT